CGGAGCCGGCGAGCCGCCCGGGGAGCACACCCCCGCTCGAGGAGGCGGAGGACCCCGACCCCGTCGGAGGCGAGCGGATGCCGGCGGGGCCCCCCGAGGAGGGACCCCGCCTGCGCGCGGTGTTCGCGGCCCTGGACAGCGACGGGGACGGCTTCGTGCGCATCGAGGACTTCGTGCAGTTCGCCACCGCCTACGGGGCTGAGCAGGTAGGGTCGCGGGTGGGGAGCCCGCTCGCGGCTTGGATGTCGCTCCTTTTCTCTAAGGAGTCAGCCCCGCAAGCGGCACCCGCGGTCGGCTGCCGAGGAGTTCGTTCCGGAGCGCTAGACCCCGCGGGAGCAGATCGCAGGGCCCTTCTCCCGCCGAGTGTCTGGTGGGTTTTGGAACTGCAGACCTTGCCGCTAGCAGCCTGGCCCTTGACCAGTGGGCCACCGGGGCTGCTTAAAAGACCCTGACGGCAGGAAGAAGGAAAACAAAACAAAAACCAACACCAGAACGCTCAAACCCTCCGAGCTCCGGTCTTGCAAGGACTCACAGCAGGACACAGGACCCCTTCAGGACACAGCAGAACTGCCCGTTGGGTTTCCAAGGCTGTTACCTCCACGGGGACTAGAATCCCGGGTCTTTCTTGCAGAGTGCCTGGTGGGTTCGAGCTGCAGTCCTTTCAGTTAGCAGCCGAAAGCTTAATTTGCACAACCACCAGAACTTCTTCATCAGTCGTTGAGTTCATTCCAACTCCTGGGTTGTCACTCCATTGTATTCTGAGCCTGCAAATCTTAAGGGGAGAAGAAGACTGCCCTTGTTCTCCCTCGGTGAGGCTGGTGTGGTTGAACCACTGGCTATATCAGTTAACATCCCAACACTTAACGCACAGCATCAAGTTCTATATCGGGGAGTCTGTCCCTGTCTACCCTCCCCCCAAGCTCCTTACATCTGGGCCCACCCAAAACCAGCATGAGCTTGGGGGCCTCCTGTCATCTCCCCATACCGGTGGAAGAGCCCTTGGGTGGATGAAGAAGGCCCAGTAGAGGTTTCTCTAGCTGTATAAATGGACGGAGGGAACTCCCGAAGTTACTGAGGCCAGGCTGCAGTACTGATCAGTGGGCCCTCAATTTTGAGCCCGCTTATTACTCTGTGTTCTTAGAATTGGCCTCTTTTGTGTTTAGGAGCCTGTGGATGCTCATAGAAGGTCCTTGCAGTTAAATGTCCATTCTTTGTAGGGAGAAAGATGAAAAAGCCGGCTTCCCTAAAGATTATAGCCATGGAGACCTTACAAGGCAGGTCTGCTCTGTCCTGCGGTTCCTTATGTGACTGTAGACTCTTCAGCAATGGCATTGTGTCTTTTCTGTGGATGAGAAGGTAATGAACCTCAGCAAACAGGAAAATGAAGAAGGCTGGCTGACCAGAGATGCCAGTGCACCGCCCTGCCTTTGTAGGAGATGTGCAGGCAGAGAAAGTGCAAGGATGCAATGCGGGGTCTACTGAGACCCTTGTCTCTGTGAGGAGGCTAGTCAGATGGGTCAACACGCCAGAATCTTCCTGTTTGTCTCAGCACTTGGTGAAGTTTAAAAGGAGATCAAAGGAAGTCAGTGTATGTTCTGCTCAGAGGACACAAGTGTTCACTTTTAAATATTTAACTGGAGGGGAAATTTCTGCATGGAATGCTAGTGCTGATGTGTTAATCTTCATGTTTTGTGGATGTCCACACATGCAGACTTTTGTTAAGTGGATATTAAAACACTTAGGTGTGTTTGGGCCGAAATGGTCTTTAAGGAAAGTGATAAACTGACACCTTGCTATTAACCTTTACAAAGGACCCTGACTTCCCAGGGTTCCCAGTGAGAAGTTGGTAAACCAGTGCTCCTTGTTGAGCTGAGAGAAGCCGTGTTGAACTGGTGGCCTAGTGGTTAAAGCTCTTGGCGCTGACCAAAGGCAGATGGTTTGAATCCACCTGAAAGGAGGTTCAAATCTACCAGTAAGGCAAGACAGTCTGCTCTGTACAGATTACAGCCTCAGAAGATGTAGGGTGTAGTTGTACTCTGTCAGTAGGGTCACTGTGAGTTAGAATGGACTCTGGCAGTGGGTTTGGTTTTGGCTTTGTATATCTATACTTAAGAATGGCATACTTGCTGGGTGTATGTTTATCATTGAGGGGCTCTGCTGGCACAATGGTTAAAGCATCCACCTGGTGACCAGTAGTGAGTGGTTCAAATCAACTAGCTCTTTGGAGACAGCTGAGGCATCCTCCTATAAAGCTTAGCAACCTTGGAAAGCCTCTGGGATGGTTCTGCTCTGTCCTGCAGGGTTGCTGTGAGTTGGAATGGATTGGGAGGCAGTGGGTTTGGCTTTGATCTGTTGGTCCAATGTCCAGGATGAAGTATAAGCTCCTGTTTCATCTTGTCTCATCTGTGTCCTGAGCACTGCTAATGTCTTGACTTGACTACAGGCCACTCCACAGAAGAGGTCCCTGTCAGTTAGTCAGGTGGGCCAGGTGCTGACCCACCAGTAGTTCTCTGTGTGTTTAACGTGGTACGAGTTACAGGTCTGCAGTCTTAGTGGTATGTTTCTTTCCTTGGGTCTTGGAAGCAGAGAAAAGGTCCTTGTTTCTTTGACAGCAGTCAAAGATGGAGTCACTGTGCCCAACTGGTAGAATATAGTCACACCATAGTCTTCTGCAGATTCACTGGCTTCTCACCATAGCCTCTGAAGTGCCAAGTCAACATGCAGGAGGCATGTCTATGTCACAGATAAGAAACTGAGAGGTCAGAAAGGTTAAATAGTTTTTCCGAGGCCTCACAGCTAGTCAGTGTTAAGACAGTGACTAGCACCAGGTCTTTTGCTTCTTAATTTTTCTCCTTTGGTTTCTACTTTTTACATTTGGTTTCTACTTCTTATCTTTTTTGCTGGCTCAGCAATATCCCCATAAAAGCTTTATCTTATGACTTCCATAGATTCTTTTCATTTGAGAGGTATTTTCTGTTGTAACTTTCCTCCTTGAAACTGCAGTGTGATAAACATTGCTTACTCTCTGGGGTTGAGCTAGCATTTCTTGCCCTCACAGAATAGAAACACATTTTTCCTTTTCTGGAAGCTGGAGCTCTCTGCTCATCACAGCTGGGTCCAGGGCAGCATAGGGGAGTAATCTGTTGCCTTTTGGGATTAGATAATTTACAGGGTAAGGAAATATTTTTTTGTCTATGTTTCTGTTTAAGTTTTGCTAGCCACTATTGTGATACAGGGTTGTTTGGGGTTATTTTTTTTTTTAAATTCTTAAATTGTGGTTTGTGCAAAAGTGGTTTTCCATTCTACCATTCTTGCATATTTTGTTTCATGATATCAGTTACAGTCCCTACATTGTAACTGTTCTCACACATGTGTCTTCCCTTTCTTTAGTGGTATTGTGCTTATCATGTCTTTATTGTATGTTGCCTTTTCTTTCACCCATGTTAAAATGTTATCTATTTTCTGATGCTTTCTCCCCTCTCCCTTGCCTCTCAGTCCTGGTAACCATTATAAAAAAGATGTTTGCATGTGTAAACTTTCCCTTCTTACTCGTTGCTGAGACTACCCATCTGTCTCCTGAGGAGCTGCTGGTGTTTTCAAACTGCCAGCCTTACATTTATGAGCACAACTTGTAAGGCATTCTGCTGTCAGAAACCTTTCTTTAAGCTTTTTAAATGAGAAATACCACATGTACACAGAAGTAGAGAGAAATCTTGCAGCACTCTCAGTTCATCTGAAAGTTCACATGCCCCACTCCCAGGTGGTTTTTGAAGCAGATCCCTGACAATAAGTCATCACATCCATAAATATTTCAGTGGTGCTAGGTGCAGTGGAGTCGGGTCCAACTCATTGGGATCCTGTGAATGAAACCCTTCCCAGTCATGTGCCATCCTCACAGTCCTTGCTAAATACTTCATTGTGATTCTGAAAGGTAAGCATTCTTTTCTAAACATTGTGATTGTTTGAAACCCTTAGAAACAGTAAGACCTTACATTCTAATGATTTCCACCTTACGTTTCTAAATCCTGAGTTCAGGGCTCTGGGGCTGCCACATTACTATCTTTGATAAAAGTACTTCTGCTATCTTGATCCTTATCAAGTTTTCAGAGGTAGAACGCTCAGTATGGATGTAATCTGTTTATGAAGGTAGCATTCTAAATTATGTAAGTGGGTGATCTGAATTTTTAATAGAAGCAGTTCCCATTTATAACACAGATGGCTTTTGTATTCCTCTTTCTTTCGTAACATTATGGTGGGTTTGGGTTTTATGACATCATCTGGGATAGATCAGGTGTGGTGTAATGTGACACTATCCTAGCAGCAGTCAGCTGCTGAAAGGCGAGCAGGCTCAGGGGACCTCTGGAAGCAGGACTCTAGGGTCAGCACAAGTAAGCAGGGTGTGAAGCAGGGAAGGTTTATAAGGCCATGACCATTTCTGAAGATTCCTCTTGAAATGATCTTTTCATGCTAAGATGATTGGTTTACAATCAGCCATCACAAAGCAGACATCATAAAATAAGTTATAAGAATGCTGTGGGAGAGGATTGGTTTCTTTTATTTCTCAAAGATACTAAGTGTAATCTTAAAGACTGTCTTCATCTTTTATTAAGTATTTACATGTTAATAGTCACATTGAGGCTTTTCCAAGAGCTCTGTGTATAGAAGCATAGCATGTCCTTTGGTCACCTTAGTGTCCTTGTCCATTTTAGTCAGCATGTGTAGGAGTCCTCCCCAAGTAAGTATTGAATCTCAGGTCTCCCTGCCTTGTTCCTATACCTCTGCTGGCTGGGAATGTGGGGGATTCCCTAGATCATTTTGGCCACATGTTGTAGCTGCTTCAGGGTTCTTTCCTATGTCTTTTCTAGCCTTGATGCTTTTATACTTATGTGAATGTGTTTAGTGTGTGTGTGTGATGTGAGCCTGTTTACTGTTGTGGGTGTGTGAGCTTGGTTAGTATATGTCTGTTTATGTGTGAACAGTGTGTATGTGTGTGTGTGTGTGTGTGTGTGTGTGAGAGAGAGAGAGCGAGAGAGAGCGCGTGCTTGTTTAGTATATATGTGTGAGCATGGTGTGTGTGTTGGCATATGGGATTGGGAGTATGTGTGGAAGAGGCATGTCTGTGAGTTGATTGGTGTGTAATTCTTAACTCTGGGTCTGTAGGTATATAGCCTAGGCTGTGTACTGGTTGATTGGCTGATTAAAAGGC